CCGTGTAGGTGGATGGTGATTACACGAGAGGCATGCTTGTGTGGGCGTTCTCGTGAATCATGATCCTGTGGGTGTTGACGGGACTCGCTCATGTGAGCGTTCCCGAGGATCACGCTTATGTGGGTGGCTGATGTTACCCGAGAATCACGCTGTCACCTAATTCACACTTTATCTCGTTATCCACGCTTTCAGCCCACCACACAGAATCCTACGCGTCCACTTTCTCTCGTGCAAGCACGCCTTGTTCATGAATAGACGTTTTCACTGGTCTCCTCTTAATACTCGGATCATATTGACACTCTTTCCTCGTGAACTTACAGGAAGTACAGGCATACTATTGTCCCTTCCCACAATATCACACTTAACCCAAATCAGCGCGCAACATCATATCCTCCCCCTCTTCCAACTGACAACTAACTGAAATTAAGTTGTCAGTTGTAGAGTTAGAACAAATCCTTGTTGCGAGCTGATATTACCATTATAATAATCATTGGACATGTGATATCATAACATATCATAACATTTCTGTAGTCGACTAAAGTATCATTGTATATCTCAATACAGCAAACACATGGCTATTAATATCTAATTTTAACAACTATGTCATGTTTGATACAGTGTAAAACGGCCTTCATACAGGTAGTGGGCACCCTTGAACACTGTGTAGTGAATTGCCACAGCTGCATGTTCCCCCGTTGCTGTACCTCGTCTCTTGCTTAACTTCCTGTAGGCATACATGACCGGATGTAAATGACCTCCAAAGTCGTATGGGAGCACGTCGCTTAGATTGACGTCACACACGTCCCATGCCACATGGAAAGAAAACATTCTATTAGGCAACGTAAAATGGTATACAAGCGAATCATTTTTGTAAATCGCGTAATGTTATTGCATAATGCTCTGCCCATTTCGTTATGTTTGGTATGCCTTTTCCTACAAACGCAGACAGCAATTGTTGCAAAATGTATGAATGTTGAGTACCCAGTTTTTAAACATAATTCTTACTTTCTTCTTCATTCTGGAAACTGGAATTTAACAATCTCTACATTTCTAGATACTGGTTTTTTTTCACCATTTCCCTATAATATCCCATTACATTTCAAAGATGGTAAAAAAGATATTGCAGTCAATTCTATCAATCTTACATGAGTACATGATGATGATAACAATGAACTTGGTGATTATGGACGATTGTCCCTCTATTGCTCCTCTTATACATTATAATATGCTACCAAGGCTGTGTCACATGAAAGATAACACATCACCTCGACTCGGCGTGAGTCCACAACATTCGCTTTCGGCCTACGGCCCCTCCTAGGGTCACCGATAGCCTTCTTATAACTCTCGCGTTGTCACTCAGGACAGATTCTTCTTCTTGGTTACGTGCCCTTCCTTTGGGTCACTGTAACATATACACGATAACTGATGAGACTTGGCCCCAGGCAACAGAGTCTCTCGGCCCACAGCCGAATTATCAACACGAGGCACTGCATTATCCTCGTCCTCGTAATTCCGCCACGCTTGATTCTTGTCGAATCTTGTGGCTAATAACATGTTGGGTACTCTACGCCTTATCCCCACACAATTCGCATAACGTGAGCACTTCGACTAATGCACCAAATTCACTTCCTTGATAAGCTACTAAATGTAATCTGTGTTTTCCATGTTAATAGATTCATCAAAAAACTACACACAACTGTTCTTCTTCAATCTTTCAATGTCATAATGTAACTCACTTTCTGGTTTTAAAACAGGTAATTTTGTTTTATACTTTACCACCTCTTCACTTGAGTGGTTTGAATCCTGTCCTTTCTTTAGCGACTTACCTCGCTAATTCTTTTGTTTCTTTTTCTGTAATGGCCAACTCTGCCATATCTTTTTGATGAGCTTTTTCCGCAGCTCTCTTCTCTCTAGTCGCTTCTTCATTTTCTGCTTGTCTTGCAGCTTTTTGTTTTTCTGTTACCTCTTTCATCCTAAATTCTGCAAAGCTTAGGATCTCTTCAGGCTTAAGTTCTAACTCCTCAGCTATGCTGACAAACTCAGCAAAGGACATTTTGACTATTACTTATGTCAGTGTGATGGACACCACTAAAAGACAGTACACGACGTTACAATAACAGTGCTAACTTTTACGAAAACAAGACAACGAGAAAACAAGCTATGTATGACGGTACACTTAAGAAAATGGACTGAAAGCACCAAGGATTAACACAACCGATAACAAACCGTACGTACAGGACTATTAACGCTACCTGACGCAGACAACTAGGTATTCCGGTCTATAAACTAATAGACAGAAATAACTAAAAGACAGCTCCTAAATTATGCAACCTACAAAATGTTACCTAATTAGAAGCGCTCCTCCCAACCTCCCACAAAACAAGTATCTCACACAGATGACATCTTAGACGTACCAAACAATTAACGTGGTCAAAGCAATGTAAATACTGCAATAAAACATTACACAATTCACAATTACAGACCTGTCAATGTTGGACGATGAGGTGACAAGTGCAAGATGAAACACACACTAAACGCAGCTCCGGAAGGTCATTCAGCTCCAAGCATAGCTTCCATCTCAGGTTCAGCTCCTGGATAACACGGCTTCAGATCTGGCGACTTGACGATTCTGTGTTCTTCACTTTACGACAAACAGGTTGACATTACAGTTCACACAGGATCAATAACACATTCTGCGAATCTTCTTTATGTGTCGCTGGCCTCTAAGCGTTGGTTTTGGTGCGAAACTGCTCTTGAGTGGATATGGCTTTCAAACCGTTGAGAATTTGATACTGCTGAGCGGTTACTCTTTTTTTTTTTTTTGTCATGGTTCTCAAACTGTTGGTTTGGTACCGAATTGTTCTTGAGATTTTGGCTTTCAAACTGCTGTGTGAAGGATGAGATGTTGAGAGATCCCTCGTTCTTTAGTTTGGCTCCCAAACTGTTGTGCGGGATGAGATGTTGAGAGGTTCCTCGTTCTTTGGTTTGGCTCCCAAACTGTTGGTTGGAGGATGAGATGTTGAGATGTTGAGATGTTGAGATGTTGAGAGGTCCCTCGTTCTTTGGCTTGGCCCCCAAACTGTTGTGTGCTAAATTGAGTCAGCACACTACCAAGTGTCTAGCAGGTACTCTTCAGCTTTCTTTCTTAACAAGACAACTCGACGACGATGACACCGTCATACAAGTTTATTTAACAGGATACATGACACAAATGCAGAGACGTAGTTATTGATCACAGCTGACATTCGCACATCGTTCATTTGTCCTCACAGCTCTCTAACTCTCAATGTGTAGTGACCTCTCCTGGACTATTGCAGATACCAGGATGACGGCGTCCCACTCTCTGGACGCGTCGTACAGCTGAACAGGACGACTTCTCCCATTCACTGGACCTTGATATTAATTCAGCATACAACACGGCTGACTGGAGACGGACTTCTCTTGCCGTACTCCGGAACCAGACACTACTGGTCTTCCCGTCCCCTGGACTTACTTTGCCAGCGGGACCATATCTCCCATACCGCAATCCCGACACTTACTCGGACCTAAATGCCCGATAGTCGTACGGTATTCTAGTCGGTTAGACTCCAATGACTGACAGGACTTCTACCATAAGTCCTCTCATACTTTTGGACATGTACCGCAACCTCGACACTTACTCGGACCTAAATGCCCGATAGTCGTACGGTATGTTTGTCTGTTAGACTCGAGAGATTACCTGGACCCTGACTTGGTCTCTGACTCTCGTTTTCTCTCTCTTCTCACATCTCTCTCTCTGTCTACTGCCCCCGAGGGGCTTTAGACCTCAGGCTACAGCTCACTCTCTGGACTGTCCACGCAGCCCAATTTATATATGTCGAATCCGTGTAGGTGGATGGTGATTACACGAGAGGCATGCTTGTGTGGGCGTTCTCGTGAATCATGATCCTGTGGGTGTTGACGGGACTCGCTCATGTGAGCGTTCCCGAGGATCACGCTTATGTGGGTGGCTGATGTTACCCGAGAATCACGCTGTCACCTAATTCACACTTTATCTCGTTATCCACGCTTTCAGCCCACCACACAGAATCCTACGCGTCCACTTTCTCTCGTGCAAGCACGCCTTGTTCATGAATAGACGTTTTCACTGGTCTCCTCTTAATACTCGGATCATATTGACACTCTTTCCTCGTGAACTTACAGGAAGTACAGGCATACTATTGTCCCTTCCCACAATATCACACTTAACCCAAATCAGCGCGCAACAAGTATCTCCTGAAAACAAACACCAGCATTTACTTAAACACAAGTAGACATCATGAATTATAGAAGTATGAACATGAGAAGAAAATGTCTGCCATGGAATGTTACCACTGAATACACAGACCATAATAAACAGCCATAAATCATTAGTGTACCAGCAATAGAGTTTGGAGACTGTCCTAAAAATCCTCATCATCATCATGTAGCAGGTCCTTTGCAGACCGTCGCTCTCATCACAGTCTGCCTGAAAGAAACTCGGTCTCTCGCCAGCTCTCCCGCCTCATGTACTTTCATACTCAAGGAGTCACTTATATCCTGTGCCCATCTTCGTGTCGGTCGGCCCCTGCCCCTCCTTCCTGGTACCATGCCTTCTGCTTTAATTTTTTCCAATCCGTCGTGGCACTTGATGATGCCTATGATGCCAAAGTCCTATTTACAGACATACACACATGTCAGGGTGGATAGTTCGGCTTCATATGCCAGTACGTCGATCTAGCTTACCAGAATAATTAAAATTAGGTGCTTAAGTCAGAGGCAACCAGCCAGGAGGTGCACCATACAAATTGGGATGTCACGCACAAACACTAGAGGAAATATGCTGAGTGAATTACAAAAGACAGTGAAGTTCCACAACATTGCAGATATAGATAATTTATTTCAAGCGAACGAAAGAAGAAGAAGAAGTTTAAAGCTAGCTGAAGACTGTGTGACTTCAGTCAACTAAAAATGAAAGCATTATATTAATTTTCTGTGGACAGGATACAGAGTCTGCCAGTCTGAGGGAGGCATACAACAGGATGTGTTTGGAGAGTAGAGACAAAGACATTGAGGTTGCCTCCCTGAGGGAGCAGGTCACTACGTTAACATCTCTGCTGAGTGAGCAGCAAGGGGACCAGGGGCAGGTTACTCAGCTCATGGAGGAACATGAGGCAGTCATGGCTTCAGCTCGCCAGCTACAACAGGAGAGGGACCAGCAAATCCTTCTCACTGAGCACAAGTCACAAGAGTGCAGTAGCCTGAAAAATGAGGTAAGTATTTCCTGTTTTCAGCAGTTTAAGTCTGAGAAATAAGAAACTGATTGTTATCTTAATGGCATTGAAAATACAGCACCAGACATTCTTGGAAAATACTGCACCAGACATTCTTGGAAAATACTGCACCAGACATTCTTGGAAAATACTGCACCAGACATTCTTGGAAAATACTGCAGCAGACATTCTTGGAAAATACTGCCCCAGACATTCTTGGAAAATACTGCACCAGACATTCTTGGAAAATACTGCACCAGACATTCTTGGAAAATACTACACCAGACATTCTTGGAAAATACTGTACCAGACATTCTGAGGCCAAAGCAATTGTAGCTGCTACTAAAGAAATGTAAATTCTTAACACTGTATTCAGACAGTAGTGATTTTTACGTTACCATCTGTTCTCCGGGCCCAAAAAAATATAACAAGCAACGTCTCAAGACCAACAGTCCACATTTAGTAACAGTGTAGTGTTATTTATGGAATTACACCCAATTGTCATATACAAGGAAATGAAAGTATTGACACATTCAAAATATTTAGATTAATTTTCTCAGATAAAGATTAGCTGATGCATAATGGAGAGGTGTCACCAAGCCCACTTGGATAGAAACTAGATTAGTGAGTGTGTGGGTTTGAATTCTAACACTACAGACCCACATGAGAAACTGGACTAATATCTGAGCTGTGTTGATCCCAGACACAGTCCTGGATAACCAAGAAAACATAAAAAGTGGCTCGTGCAATGAAAGTAGCTGTACTTGTATCCACAGGAGTAGGAAAAGGGATAGTTAGATGTCAAGATGAATTCAGTGAGTGAATATCAAGGTACAGAGTTAACTCAGACTTTCTGCTCTCCTGGTATTCATTTATAATCAATGCATTCCCCCATCAAGTGATTTACATATAAATGAGCTGAGATAAAACTAATATGCACAAAGAAACTGTATTTACAATTTACCCAACTAATGTTATATAACTTGACATAAAGTTTGATAGTTCAGTCTAAGGCAAAATAAACTGAATGGTATTGATTTACCATGTTGCAATCAAGAATTGGATGCTATGATGATAATGCATCAGTCAGCGAATTTAATAGGCATATGAGAGTGATGGTGCTATGATGAAATTATTTCTTATAAAGAATAACAGTACATAACTTGTAAACATGGAGAATAGGAACCTTAGACAGATCTCAGTTTGAGACTGCCTAATTTTTTCCAGCCTGTCGTCCTCTTAATTCAGTTAGGCCATACACTCAGACTGTCTGCTTATGATAAGTGATGACTTTTCCTTGCCCCTGATGGAAACTGCGATAAAACAAATGCAAATGTGTAGTGTCTTAGTTAGTTAGTTAGTCGACAGATTATCCTTATTGCATGTTGAACCACTCAGTCAATAAGTGCTTGGATCCCCTCCTCAGTAAATCCCACAGCGTATAGCAGCTAACGACACCAGTTCTGTGTCGGTTTATTATTATTCTTTGGCTACCCATGAAGGGTTCTTGTTTGGCTGCACTCTGTTTAACATGTTGTTCTTGCAGTCTAACCATGGTTGCAGATTCACAGTTCTCAATTGGTTCACTCGAACGTTTTAACTCTCTTTGAGCATTCAGTATATCAGCCTGGTCCGTGGCTTGTCCGGCTTTCACAGTAGCCTTACCCTGCAAGTCTATCAGCTTGCTCATTTCATTGTACCCCAACATGTCCTGGAACGAAAATAAAACTAATCCTTGTCAGCCGTGAATTCTGTAGTTCAGAGTTAAATCCCTTGAAAGGCTTAAAGCAGCACAAAGCTGACTGGAATAAGAAGGTGTAACAATGAAGCTTTAGCCCAAATGGAGAGACCCCGAGCACAGTGTCCAAGACAATAGAAGATTATATATATAGGCACCCCACCTTAGTTCCCACATGCCACCTGTTTGGGGTAAATCGGTGTCTAAACACATTTTAGGGAAAAGGTTGGTGGGAGGGTGGGGGGGGGGTGGGGGGGGGGGGGGGAATAATAATAACACATATACATAACTACCCCTTTTTTTTTTTAAAAAAAAAAGCTTTTATTACTTACGTTGCATTCAGTAACCAATGCACTAAAATGATTTTTTAAAATAATTTTGCGTATGTTTTACTCTATTACAGTGAAGAGAAAAATATTTGCTTTGTGACAGTGACAATAGAATTTTATGATTATTGTTGTTCTGGTGTCTTTTAGATTGCTTATCTGAAGGAAAAAGATTTGCGGCAGAAGAAGGAGCTTGAAAGACTGAGGTCGCATCTATTAGAGGTGATTATGTTTTCACTGTGTTTCTCACAGTTTGTAGTAAATTTTAAAATCATTATTTCTAAAATAGCAGTCAATAAATTAAGTATATCTGACATTGCAGTCAGCAGAGGAATGAGTACTTCTGACATTGCAGTCAGCCGAGGAATGAGTACTTCTGACATTGCAGTCAGCAGAGGAATGAGTACTTTTGACATTGCAGTCAGCAGAGGAATGAGTACTTATGACATTGCAGTCAGCAGAGGAATGAGTACTTCTGACATTGCAGTCAGCAGAGGAATGAGTACATCTGACATTGCATTCAGCAGAGGAATGAGTACTTCTGACATTGCAGTCAGCAGAAGAATAAGTACTTCTGACATTGCAGTCACCAGAGGAATGAGTACTTCTGACATTGCAGTCACCAGAAGAATAAGTACTTCTGACATTGCAGTCAATAGAAGAATAAGTGCTTCTGACATTGTAGTCAGTAGAAAAATAAATACTTCTGACATTGCAGTCAATAGAAGAATAAGTACTTCTGACATTGTAGTCAATAGAAGAATAAGTACTTCAGACATTGTAGTCAGTAGAAGAATAAGTACTTCTGACATTGTAGTCAATAGAAGAATAAGTATTTCTGACATTGTAGTCAGTAGAAGAATAAGTACTTCTGACATTGTAGTCAATAGAAGAATAAGTACTTCTGACATTGCAGTCACCAGAGGAATAAGTACTTCTGACATTGCAGTCACCAGAGGAATGAGTACTTCTGACAATGCAGTTAGTAGAGGAATGAGTACTTCTGACATTGCAGTCAGTAGAGGAATGAGTACTTCTGACATTGTAGTCAGTAGAAAAATAAATACTTCTGACATTGCAGTCAATAGAAGAATAAGTACTTCTGACATTGTAGTCAATAGAAGAATAAGTACTTCAGACATTGTAGTCAGTAGAAGAATAAATGCTTCTGACATTGTAGTCAACAGAAGAATAAGTACTTCTGACATTGTAGTCAGTAGAAGAATAAGTACTTCTGACATTGTAGTCAACAAAAGAATAAGTACTTCTGACATTGTAGTCAGTAGAAGAATAAGTACTTCTGACATTGTAGTCAGTAGAAGAATCAGTACTGACATTGTAGTCAGTAGAAGAATGAGTACTTCTGACATTGTAGTCAGTAGAAGAATAAGTACTTCTAACATTGTAGTCAATAGAAGAATAAGTATTCTGACATTGTAGTCAGTAGAAGAATAAGTACTTCTGACATTGTAGTCAATAGAAGAATAAGTATTTTTGACATTGTAGTCAGTAGAAGAATAAGTACTTCAGACATTGTAGTCAATAGAAGAATAAGTACTTCTGACATTGTAGTCAGTAGAAGAATAAGTACTTCCGACATTGTAGTCAGTAGAAGAGTAAGTACTTCTGACATTGTAGTCAGTAGAAGAATAAGTATTTCTACTTTTGCACAGACAAGAAAATGTTCTTTCATTGGTCTATAATATTTGAACACTAAACATTTTTTCGTTCGAAGATTGAGGATGGCTTTACAAAAGATGCTCTTGAAGCAGAGGAGCGAGAGAAGGATCTGCGTAACAGATTGGCTGTTGCAGAGGAACAGTTGATGTCATCATCTTCAAAAGTGGAAAATGCACAGTAAGAAGCTTTTTATCACTGCATAATTTTTTAATGGCAAGTATATTTTTTTTTAAATCACTGCATAATTTTTTATAGCAAGTATGTTTTGTCAGTAGTTCTGTCCACCAGATTTCTGTCAATAGTTCTGTCTCCACTAGATGTCTATTCTCTGGATTTCTGTCAACAGCTCCCTCCACTAGATTTTGGTCAACTTGATTTCTGTCAGCATTTCCGTTTGTATCATAACCCATGACCCATTAGGGTCGTGGAGGTTATTGGTTGAAGCACCGGCACATGAAACCAGCCATCTTTCTCTGTCTTCTGCTTGGTGAATAAGTCTATGATAACTTAGTCCTGTCCATTTCTTGATATTGTCATTCATGATTTGTCTCAACTCCCCCTCTTTCTTTGACTACTTGCCCCCCCCCTCCTCCCCTAAATGTTCCTTGAAGTACTGTCTTTGCAATCAAATCATATCTCACCACATGCCAAAACCAAGCTAGCTTGTGACATTTCACTACTGCAAAGAGAGGCTCCTGATGTCCCACAAATTTGAATATTTTGTCTCTGACAAATTATTTTCTTTTGTGTTCTAAATAACTAATTGGTAAAATTCGTCTGTAGCATTTACATTCAAAAGCCTGAATCCTTCTTTCCATTTCCCCAGTGAGTCCAACTTTCACATTCATATAAGAAAATAGACAACACCAGTGATTTGTAAATATTGACCTTGACTGCGAGGCTGATTTTGCTCTTGCTCATGGCATTCAGCTGGGACATCGCAGTTGTTGCCATATCAAGTCTTGTCTTGATCTCTTTGGTACAGCTGCCATTGTTGCTTCTGTGGGAGCCAAGATATTTAGAAGTTTACATTTCTGTCTACTAGATTTCTGTCATCAGTTCTGTCCACTAGACTTCTGTCAACAGTCCTGTCCACTAGACTTCTGTCAACAGTCCTGTCCACTAGACTTCTGTCAACAGTCCTGTCCAGTAGACTTCTGTCAACAGTCCTGTCCAGTAGACTTCTGTCAACAGTCCTGTCCAGTAGACTTCTGTCAACAGTCCTGTCCACTAGACTTCTGTCAACAGTCCTGTCCACTAGATTTCTGTCAACAGTCCTGTCCACTAGACTTCTGTCAACAGTCCTGTCCACTAGACTTCTGTCAACAGTCCTGTCCACTAGACTTCTGTCAACAGTCCTGTCCACTAGACTTCTGTCAACAGTCCTGTCCACTAGACTTCTGTCAACAGTCCTGTCCACTAGACTTCTGTCAACAGTCCTGTCCACTAGACTTCTGTCAACAGTCCTGTCCACTAGACTTCTGTCAACAGTCCTGTCCACTAGACTTCTGTCAACAGTCCTGTCCACTAGACTTCTGTCAACAGTCCTGTCCACTAGACTTCTGTCAACAGTCCTGTCCAGTAGATTAATGTCTACTAGATTTCTGTCAAGTAAATTTCTGTCCACTAGATTTATATCAAGTAGAGTTATGTCAACATTTCTGTCCACTAGATTTATATCAAGTAGAGTTATGTCAACATGTCTGTCCACTAGATTTATATCAAGTAGAGTTATGTCAACATGTCTGTCCACTAGAGTTATATCAAGTAGAGTTATGTCAACATTTCTGTCCACTAGATTTATATCAAGTAGAGTTATGTCAACATTTCTGTCCACTAGATTTATATCAAGTAGAGTTATGTCATCATTTCTGTCCACTAGATTTATATCAAGTAGAGTTATGTCAACATTTCTGTCCACTAGATTTATATCAAGTAGAGTTATGTCAACATTTCTGTCCACTAGATTTATATCAAGTAGAGTTATGTCAACATTTCTGTCCACTAGAGTTATATCAAGTAGAGTTATGTCAACATTTCTGTCCACTAGATTTATATCAAGTAGAGTTATGTCAACATTTCTGTCCACTAGATTTATATCAAGTAGAGTTATGTCAACATTTCTGTCCACTAGATTTATATCAAGTAGAGTTATGTCAACATTTCTGTCCACTAGATTTATATCAAGTAGAGTTATGTCAACATTTCTGTCCACTAGAGTTATATCAAGTAGAGTTATGTCAACATTTCTGTCCACTAGATTTATATCAAGTAGAGTTATGTCAACATTTCTGTCCACTAGAGTTATATGTCAACATTTCTGTCCACTAGATTTATATCAAGTAGAGTTATGTCAACATTTCTGTCCACTAGAGTTATATCAAGTAGAGTTATGTCAACATTTCTGTCCACTAGATTTATATCAAGTAGAGTTATGTCAACATTTCTGTCCACTAGATTTATATCAAGTAGAGTTATGTCAACATTTCTGTCCACTAGAGTTATATCAAGTAGAGTTATGTCAACATTTCTGTCCTCTAGATTTATATCAAGTAGAGTTATGTCAACATTTCTGTCCACTAGAGTTATATGTCAACATTTCTGTCCACTAGATTTATATCAAGTAGAGTTATGTCAACATTTCTGTCCACTAGAGTTATATAAAGGAGAGTTATGTCAACATTTCTGTCCACTAGATTTATATCAAGTAGAGTTATGTCAACATTTCTGTCCACTAGATTTATATCAAGTAGAGTTATGTCAACATTTCTGTCCACTAGAGTTATATCAAGTAGAGTTATGTCAACATTTCTGTCCACTAGAGTTATATCAAGTAGAGTTATGTCAACATTTCTGTCCACTAGAGTTATATCAAGTAGAGTTATGTCAACATTTCTGTCCACTAGATTTATATCAAGTAGAGTTATGTCAACATTTCTGTCCACTAGATTTATATCAAGTAGAGTTATGTCAACAATTTCTGTCCACTAGATTTATATCAAGTAGAGTTATGTCAACATTTCTGTCCACTAGATTTATATCAAGTAGAGTTATGTCAACATTTCTGTCCACTAGAGTTATGTCAAGTAGAGTTATGTCAACATTTCTGTCCACTAGAGTTATATCAAGCAGAGTTATGTCAACATTTCTGTCCGCAACAAGCATTAGGTTTGTGTCTATCCCTAGTCTACCAAAAAGGATTAGGCTTGTGTCTATCCCCAGTCTACCTGCAAGCATTAGTTTTGTGTCAGATCCCTAGTCTACCTACAAGAATTAGGTTCGTGTCAGATCCCCAGTCTACCTGCAAGGATTAGATTTGTGTCAGATCTCCTGTCTACCTACAAGCATTAGTTTTATGTAAGATCCCCAGTCTACCTACAAGGATTAAGTTTGTGTCAGATCCTAGTCTACCTACAAGGATTAAGTTTGTGTCAGATCCCCAGTCTACCTACAAGGATTAAGTTTGTGTCAGATCCCCAGTCTACCTGCAAGGATTAGGTTTGTCTCAGATCCCCAGTCTACCTGCAAGGATTAGGTTTATGTCAGATCCCCAGTCTACCTGCAAGGATTAGGTTTGTGTCAGATCTCCAATCTACCTGCAAGGATTAGGTTTATGTCAGATCCCCAGTCTACCTGCAAGGATTAGTTTTGTGTCAGATCCCCAGTCTACCTGCAAGGATTAGTTTTATGTCAGATCCCCAGTCAACCTGCAAGGATTAGTTTTATGTCAGATCCCCAGTCTACCTACAGGGATTAGGTTTGTGTCAGATCCCCAGTCTACCTGCAAGGATTAGGTTTGTGTCAGATCCCCAGTCTACCTGCAAGGGTTAGTTTTATGTCAGATCCCCAGTCTACCTACAAGTATTAGTTTTGTGTCAGATCCCTAGTCTACCTACAAGCATTAGTTTTGTGTCAGATCCTTAGTCTACCTACAAGCATTAGTTTTGTGTCATATCCCCAGTCTACCTACAAGCATTAGTTTTGTGTCAGATCCCCAGTCTACCTACAAGCATTAGTTTTGTGTAAGATCCTCAGTCTACCTACAAGCATTAGTTTTGTGTCAGATCCCCAGTCTACCTACAAGCATTAGTTTTGTGTCAGATTCCTAGTCTACCTACAAACATTAGTTTTGTGTCAGATCCCCAGTCTACCTACAAGCATTAGTTTTGTGTCAGATCCCCAGTCTACCTGCAAGGATTAGTTTTATGTCAGATCCCTAGTCTACCTACAAGCATTAGTTTTATGTCAGATCCCTAGTCTACCTACAAGCATTAGTTTTATGTCAGATCCCCAGTCTACCTACAAGGATTAGGTTTGTGTCAGATCCCCAGTCTACCTACAAGGATTAGGTTTGTGTGAGATCCCCAGTCTACCTACAAGGATTAGGTTTGTGTCAAATCCCCAGTCTACCTGCAAGGATTAGGTTTATGTCAGATCCCCAGTCTACCTACAAGGATTAGGTTTGTGTCAGATCCCCAGTGTACATACAAGCATTAGTTTTATGTCAGAATCCCAGTCTACCTGCAAGGATTAGGTTTGTGTCAGATCTCCAGTCTACCTGCAAGCATCAGTTTTGTGTCAGATCCCCAGTCTACCTACAAGGATTAGGTTTGTGTCTGATCCCCAGTCTACCTGCAAACATTAGGTTTGTGACAGATCCCCAGTCTACCTGCAAGGATTAGATTTGTGTCAGATCCCCAGTCTACCTACAAGCATTAGGTTTGTGTCTGATCCCCAATCTAACTACAAGGATTTGGACACCCCTGACCTGCTTACAAGAGTCGCCCGGTCTACCTGCAAACAACTCCCCCCCCCCCTTACCTCTTCCCCCAGTCTGCCTTCAAGAAATCTCCTAGTCTGTTTACAGGGGAACCCCTGGTCTGTCTACAAGGCCCCCCTAAAGTCAACCTGCTAATCTTTCTTATTAATGGCATAAAAACAAGGTAGATTACAGTGCTACAGTACCCTGCCTTTCTCATTAATTTCCCTGTCATATGCATGCAGCACAAACTTTCACTGCTGTCTATATATAGCATTGTGGACAATTTAGTCAGAAAATTGATTGACGAAAACACATATGAAGGTGATTCTATAGTTCACTCAGATAGATAAGTAATTCCCTGTCAATGCTGTCAAATGCTTTTTCATAGTCTATAAATCCAGTGTAAAGTGTTGAGTTCAGTTCAATGCTTTGCTCTATTATTATACATAATGTGGCTATCTGGTCAGTATAGGATCTGTTTGGCCGAAAACCTGCCTGTTCATCTCTTAGCTTTTTATCAAAAGCATCTTTTAATCTTTCAAAAATAATTCTACTTAATATTTTTCCAGGAACTGAGAGCAGCATAATTCCTCTATAGTTTTCACACTCCTGTAGAACACTTTCTTTGAGCAGTTTCACAAGATATCCTCCTCTCCAGTCTGCTGGTATTTGGTCTGTCTCCCAGACTAAAGCATGTAAAATTCTTCCTTAACAGATGCATCTTATGTGTTGTTATCATTTGTTGGTGCATAACACTGTATTACAGACATGTTTACCTTCTGTTTCGCTGTTCTAAATGATGCTCTTATTATTCTGGGACTCACAGCTTCCCATTCTATTAATGCCCTGTCTGCTTCTTTCGATAGCATCAGGGCCACTCCTTCACTGTGGGGCAAATTTATATCTGTGTGTCCTGAGAACAAAATAGTTTTCCCTGAATATAGAATACTTTCCCCCACCCCAGTCCATCTAGTTTCACATAACCCTAAAATACTAATTCTATAATGTTTTATTTCCCTTACTACTTCCATTGTTCTTCCTGTATCATAGAAAGTTCTAACATTCCAGGTGCCAATTCTGGAGGTTTTCCAAGCTGAGAGGAGGTATGTGGATGATCCAGAATCCTTTTAGCTTTCTCCACACCGTGTCAGACTATTTCTTCTTGTAAAGGCGCGCAACCCCCCCCCCCCTCCCCCCTATCTTGGTTGGCTGGGTTTTACATTGCTTCTCTCTTTGACTTATCCATGGTTGGTTGGTTTTTGTAGCTGTTATTATTACAGGATGAGGTAGCCAACCTCAAGCCCAACACTACCCTTAGTGACCTCTTATGACATGCCTGGTAGGATGCAGGGTCACAATTCTTTGCTTCCCATGAGGGCCCCGGTGACACATGAGCGTATCAATGCCATGTGCAGCACTTAACTGTGACGATGAGCACATCAAAAGGAAGGACTCCATATCCCTGTCTAGGCTGATGGACACGGGGGTGCAGCCTGGAGCTGCAAAAATGGAGATTTCACTAAGGGGAGAAGACTTTCTATTAATCAACACAGAACTTGCGTCATCAGCCGTTTTACAGTTGCGGAGCTTTAAGGAAGGAGATCGGAGTACCTGTTTGGAGTGCTGATGAGAATCCTTACTAATCACTAATATGAAAGATACAAAGTATTACAGTTAATAATATACTTAAATTCTCAACAAACAAGGAACACCCTCTATAAGCAGCCTTGAGGATAGCAAGAGTCATTGGCTGAAAAGAGGTAGTTCCTGGATGGCACAGGCAGGTCATGATCAGAACTGTTTGTGCTACTGACAAGATTGCGCATGGTGAGGGATGAATTACAGTGCCACCCAGCAAAATAGACTTGTACAGAGTAATGTTTACCTTAGACAGAGGATGTTGACAGTGTATAACTGATAAAACAGAGGCATCAGTGCAAGAACTGAACAATTAAAATTCCATCCTAGGGGACATTGTTATCTACACAGATGGATATGTAGTGAAAGGTAGAAAAAGTGAGTGGGGTTTTATTGCAGAGGGGAATGGACACTGTTTGAAAATAGCCTCACGAAGAAAGTCACAGTATCCAGTATGAGAATGGAGGTGGAGGCAGTAACAGCAGCTTTTTGATGACATGAGAGTGAAGCCTAACATGTTGTAATTGTGACAAACTCACAAAGCTTGCTTCATTCATTCATTCATTCTTTTTTTAATGGCTTCATAAACAGGAGAGGTGACAGTGCTACAGTAGTATGTCTTTCTTTTCAATTACTTCATAAACATGGCAGGTTACAATGCTATAGTTCTCTGTCTTTCTTATCAAATGCTTCATAAACAAGGTAGGTTACAGTGCTACAGTTCTATGTCTTTCTTATCAAATGCTTCATAAACAAGGTAGGTTACAGTGCTACAGTTCTATGTCTTTCTTATCAAATGCTTCATAAACAAGGTAGGTTACAATGCTACAGTTCTATGTCTTTCTTTTCAATTACTTCATAAACATGGTAGGTTACAATGCTACAGTTCTATGTCTTTCTTTTCAATTACTTCATAAACATGGTAGGTTACAATGCTATAGTTCTATGTCTTTCTTATCAAATGCTTCATAAACATGGTAGGTTACAATGCTATAGTTCTATGTCTTTCTTTTCAATTACTTCATAAACATGGTAGGTTACAATGCTATAGTTCTATGTCTTTCTTTTCAAATACTTCATAAACATGGTAGGTTACAATGCTACAGTTCTATGTCTTTCTTATCAAATACCTCATAAACATGGTAGGTTACAATGCTATAGTTCTCTGTCTTTCTTTTCAATTACTTCATAAACATGGTAGGTTACAATGCTATAGTTCTATGTCTTCTTTTCAAATACTTCATAAACATGGTAGGTTACAATGCTATAGTTCTATGTCTTTCTTATCAAATGCTTCATAAACATGGTAGGTTACAATGCTAAAGTTCTATGTCTTTCTTATCAATTACTTCATAAACATGGTAGGTTACAATGCTATAGTTCTATGTCTTTCTTTTCAAATACTTCATAAACATGGTAGGTTACAATGCTACAGTTCTATGTCTTTCTTATCAAATACCTCATAAACATGGTAGGTTACAATGCTATAGTTCTCTGTCTTTCTTTTCAATTACTTCATAAACATGGTAGGTTACAATGCTATAGTTCTATGTCTTCTTTTCAAATACTTCATAAACATGGTAGGTTACAATGCTATAGTTCTATGTCTTTCTTATCAAATGCTTCATAAACATGGTAGGTTACAATGCTAAAGTTCTATGTCTTTCTTATCAATTACTTAATAAACATGGTAGGTTACAATGCTATAGTTCTATGTCTTTCTTTTCAAATACTTCATAAACATGGTAGGTTACAATGCTATAGTTCTATGTCTTTCTTATCAAATGCTTCATAAACATGGTAGGTTACAATGCTATAGTTCTCTGTCTTTCTTTTCAATTACTTCATAAACATGGTAGGTTACAATGCTATAGTTCTATGTCTTTCTTTTCAAATACTTCATAAACATGGTAGGTTACAATGCTATAGTTCTATGTCTTTCTTATCAAATGCTTCATAAACATGGTAGGTTACAATGCTATAGTTCTATGTCTTTCTTTTCAAATACTTCATAAACATGGTAGGTTACAATGCTATAGTTCTATGTCTTTCTTATCAATTACTTCATAAACATGGTAGGTTACAATGCTATAGTTCTATGTCTTTCTTTTCAAATACTTCATAAACATGGTAGGTTACAATGCTATAGTTCTATGTCTTTCTTATCAATTACTTCATAAACATGGTAGGTTACAATGCTATAGTTCTATGTCTTTCTTTTCAAATACTTCATAAACATGGTAGGTTACAATGCTATAGTTCTATGTCTTTCTTTTCAATTACTTTATAAACATGGTAGGTTACAATGCTATAGTTCTCTGTCTTTCTTTTCAATTACTTCATAAACATGTTAGGTTACAATGCTACAGTTCTATGTCTTTCTTATCAATTACTTCATAAACATGGTAGGTTACAATGCTATAGTTCTATGTCTTTCTTATCAAATACTTCATAAACATGGTAGGTTACAATGCTATAGTTCTATGTCTTTCTTATCAAATACTTCATAAACATGGTAGGTTACAATGCTATAGTTCTCTGTCTTTCTTTTTAATTACTTCATAAACATGGTAAGTTACAATGCTACAGTTCTATGTCTTTCTTATCAATTACTTCATAAACATGGTAGGTTACAATGCTACAGTTCTATGTCTTTCTTATCAATTACTTCATAAACATGGTAGGTTACAATGCTACAGTTCTATGTCTTTCTTATCAATTACTTCATAAACATGGTAGGTTACAATGCTATAGTTCTCTGTCTTTCTTTTCAAATACTTCATAAACATGGTAGGTTACAATGCTATAGTTCTATGTCTTTCTTATCAAATACTTCAAAAACATGGTAGGTTACAATGCTATAGTTCTCTGTCTTTCTTTTCAATTACTTAATAAACAAGGTAGGTTACAATGCTATAGTTCTATGTCTTTCTTATCAAATGCTTCATAAACATGGTAGGTTAGAGTGTCAGACTTCCCTGCTTCCCATCTTGTCTCTGCTAACGTGTACAATATCTGTTGTTTGACTGAAGATTGATTTCCTACAGGAAAGAGTGCCACCAACAGCTGGAGAGCTTACAGCAACAGCTTCATCATGTGGCCAGCCAGAGAGACTCTGCCTACATGCAAGTGGCCAACATTCAGGAGCAGTGCCAACAGTATGCCACTTCCCTCAGTAACTTGCAACTTGTTCTCGAGCACTTCCAAAAAGGTAGGTCTCAACAAGCGGTGGCTCCTAGAAAGTTATTGATGGCTATTTGATGGTGGCTTTTCGGAAGTGCTTGCTTGGTTTCTGATGGTGGCTTTTGGGAAGTGTTTGCTGGGTATAACCAATAGTGGTTCCTGGAAAATGGTTGGTGGGTATAACTAATAGTGGCTATTGTAAAATAGTTAGTGACTTTCAAATGGTGGGTTTTGAGGAGTGGTTGGTGGGGTATAATCAAGACTGTCTCCATCTGATGGGCCATGCTGCTGACCTCACAAAACCAGGCTAACGATATGTTGTTTTCACACTGACAGTGCCATTTTGTTTTAGGCGTGTTCCCTGTCGTCCCGCACAAAAATTATAGGAATAAGCTTGGGAATTGAACATCTATATAGTTACACACAATATCTGCTTCTTCTTCTTTGCGTTTGGTTTTGTATGCTCAGATCAGACCATCAGGTGGGATGCCTCTATGAACTCGCATGCCAGCCCTAGGTAGATCTAAGGGTCACAGACTGAAAAGAGGAAGGCTTAGATGTCGCAAGCTGAGGACACAATCAGACTTGTGTACAGGCTTGATAAATTTGTGTGAGGTGAGGAGTGGGTCAAAGTGTCCGAGCAAGTTTCAGACTTCTGTAGGGTTCTTATCACTGTGGATTGTGAGTGCAGGGACTGGCCAGCTGGAGCTGCAGAATCAGAAGTTCAACATATGATTCATGATAATTACCGCCCAAGTGATGTGATTATCTATACAGATGGCTCTGTGTTGAGGGGCAGACAAAGTGCATGTTTATAGCAAAGGCAAATGGATGTCGCTTGGTGCAGCAAAACCTGGCATATGATATCACAACGTCTAGTTTGAAAATGGAGGTGGAGACAGTCACTGTGGCCTTCCGCTGGCTTGAGAATCAGCTCTACACACATGCCGCGGTTGTCACTGACTCACAGAGCATGTTGAGAAAGGTGGAGACAGGTATGCCCCATGCAGAATGGCAGGCATCACTTCAGAGGCCCCAGGTAATTAGTATCCTATGGATATTTTCTCTCGGTGTATTGGAAAACGAGCAGGCGGATAGACTGGCCAGTTCTGCACCACTTGGTGGTGAATTGATGTATGACAAGCTAGAATTGTGGGCCCTCTTGGAGCGAGTCAACAGTGCGGAAGTGCAAATAGATCATTACGGTCTGAGCAGAATGGCGCTGCGAGGAGTTACCAGGGGATCTGGCCGATGCTAAACACTCAAGGGAGGGGCGGAACAGATATACAATCAGACAGTTACTGGTGCCATCGGAATTGGAACTCTTTGTTTGCTGCTGAAGGTGGGGACAGAGCGCATATGAGAGGTGTCTCGAGTGCTGTCAAGGACCTATATCTACCATAATGATCTATGGCTCGTTATATGGCCCGTGACAGACACACTATCCAACAATACACCGAGCCAAATACGTACAGAGCACACACATCAAATCATTATTACATGAGTACGGTATTACAAAATAGCAGTTGACTTCTGATGCGGTTAACACCCGCATTTAAAACTAGGCCGGGAGCGCTTTACTCTTCACCACTCCCGCCAGTGCACGTTTCCATGGATGAACACCAAGGTCCGAACTCACCTCACCTCGCATAGGCTATTTCTATATTGCCATCAGACCCTGCATAAGAATTTGTGAGGCGTCTGCAACATGAGTGTCTGGGTGCATGAGGATAGGTAATATCGCCCACCCTGCCAAGCAAAGCTAACACTGATTACTCAAATATCTCAGCATCTGCTTACATCAGACATGGTACCAACACAACAATCGTGCAAAACTATATCACACATGGAAAAAACTACTAACAGCTAACCAAAGATATTCCTACAATGCTAACCTTGGCTATCTTTTAACTTCTGACACAATGTAATCTAGAATGTCCCTCTAAGTCTTCAGTCTAAAGACACAATGTAATCTAGAATGTCCCTCTAAGTCTTCAGTCTAAAGCGTCTGTTGAAACCTCTCCTCAAGCTTTTGCTCTCAAGCAGTTTTATTTCTGGAATTTAGGTTCCTGCCTTGGGTAACCCATGTGAGTTCATGCAATCTTGGGATTGCCCGTGTCGTGAATTCAGGTTCCTGCCTTGGGTAACCCATGTGAGTTCATGCAATCTTGGGATTGCCCGTGTCGTGAATTCAGGTGCCTGGCTTGGGTAACCCATGTGAGTTCATGCAATCTTGGGATTGCCTGTGTCGTGAATTCAGGTGCCTGCCTTGGGTAACCCATGTGAGTTCATGCAATCTTGGGATTGCCCGTGTCGTGAATTCAGGTTCCTGCCTTGGGTAACCCATGTGAGTTCATGCAATCTTGGGATTGCCCGTGTCGTGAATTCAGGTTCCTGCCTTGGGTAACCCATGTGAGTTCATGCAATCTTCGGATTGCCCGTGTCGTGAATTCAGGTGCTTGGCTTGGGTAACCCATGTGTTCAGGTTCCTGCCTTGGGTAACCCATGTGAGTTCAGGTTCCTGCCTTGGGTAACCCATGTGAGTTCATGCAATCTTGGGATTGCCTGTGTCTTGAATTCAGGTGCCTGGCTTGGGTAACCCATGTGAGTTCATGCAATCTTGGGATTGCCCGTGTCGTGAATTCAGGTTCCTGCCTTGGGTAACCCATGTGAGTTCATGCAATCTTGGGATTGCCCGTGTCGTGAATTCAGGTTCCTGCCTTGGTTAACCCATGTGAGTTCATGCAATCTTGGGATTGCTCGTGTCGTGAATTCAGGTGCCTGGCTTGGGTAACCCATGTGCATTCATGCAATCTTGGGATTGCCTGTGTCGTGAATTCAGGTGCCTGGCTTGGGTAACCCATGTGAGTTCATGCAATCTTGGGATTGCCCGTGTCTTGAATTCAGGTTCCTGCCTTTGGTAACCCATGTGAGTTCATGCAATCTTGGGATTGCCCACGTCGTGAATTCAGCTAGCTGATGGTTGGTTCAGCTATGGGTCATTCAAATACAAACATATGACGTTAAAGGTCTTATTGTCTATACACCGTCCATACCCTTCCTGTAAGGCTATGACACCCTTGTTAAGTGTTCTGATTTATGTTAATGACAATGAATGGATGTGTTGTTTCTTCTTTGTTCCATTTTTGGCAAGTCTGTCTGCTGACTCATTTCCTGGTATGCTGCAGAGAGCCAAGATCTATTAGAGAATGATTTGATTGTTTTCTGATAGTCACACACACAATATGACAACATAGAAACATAATATACAGCAGAAACTACTGACATTTTTAGTTGCAGTTGGTCCCATAATGTTGTCATATCATCCTCTCTGAAGTGAACTTAGCCAGTTTTCTTTCTTTTCTATCGTTATTTAGACAAAACATTTGCCAGAGATGGCAGCACTTTGGAAACAATGTTTACTGTAGAATGAACCTCACCATAGACACCGTCTGTTTTATCGTTGAAATATGTGTGTAAACTGCATGAAACAGTAGAATGAACCTCACCATAGACACCATCTGTTTTATCGTTGAAATATGTGTGTAAACTGCATGAAACAGTAGAATGAACCTCACCATAGACACCGTCTGTTTTATCGTTGAAATATGTGTGTAAACTGCATGAAACAGTATGCATAAGCAATTTGTTTGTGATGTTTGCAAGCTAGAAATTGTGTACCTTGTCTCTTTGAGTCCCAGAGGGTTTAGCATCAGAGCCCCAAAAGGTGGTAATGCATTTTATTTCACAAGCGTAGCACATCAAAACAGACCATACTAACTCAATTGCCACGTTACAATGAAAACATTTCTTTACTGGCTGCAGTTGCTGTTATTTTTGTTGTTGTGTGTATGTATGTGCATGCCTGTGTGTTTGTGTGTGTGTAGGGAGGGTGGAGTGGGGGGGAGGAGGTGTGTTGGTTCTCATAGCTTTCTGTTAACTGAATGATAAAATCCACTCTTATTTTAATAAAATGTTTCTAGGGAAAGATTCAGCCATCACCATGGAAACAGAACACCTGCAGAATGAATGTAAAGTTTTGAGAATTGAAGTGAAGGAGCTTCAGGCAGAACTGCAAGCTACAAGAGTAAGTTACAGCACTCATTTGTTTCTCATTGTTTTATACACGGCTACAAGAGTAAGTTACAGCACTCATTTGTTTCTCATAGTTTTATACACGCCTACAAAAGTCTGCTAGTCTGGTAGTCTTAGTTTCAGCTTCATAGCAAACGGGTCGCCCCATCTTTGCTCCGCTCCTGTGCCAACGAAAAAACACTCAGAATGTTTATCACAGTCCCTTGTGGAAAGATTGACAGACTGCTGTCTCAGCATATCTAGCATACACTTGCATTAAAGCATACGGTAGCCATCCGAAGTGCTAGCACAAACAGTCCAACATTAGAAATGCAGTTCATCATTGATGATAGCAGAACTTGTCGCCAACAGATCAGCAGTTGCCCACGCGATCAATTGTAATCACATCCGGGCACCGCCAACATTGACGACCGGCATCACGCCATTTTCTGAATCTCCAATTCACACCACGTTGGTCACAGTCGAAAAAACATTCCCAATGCAATCCGCAGCTCATTGGGTCACGCCATGCATTCAACTCAGAAGCTGGGCGACGAAACTATATCCAGTCTACAAATGGAGCAAAAATACTTCGGCCACCATCCGGCAGAAGCAAAAAATTTGCCTCTGCTTCGAACAGCGCCGCTGTCTAGCGTCCATTTTAACCGTTTTCCTACAAGAGTAAGTCACAGCACTCATTGGTTTTTCATTGTTTTATACACGGCTACAGCACTTATTGGTTTCTCATTGTTTTATACACGGCTACAAGAGTAAGTTACAGCACTCATTGGTTTTTCATTGTTTTATACACGGCTACAGCACTTATTGGTTTCTCATTGTTTTATACACGCCTACATGATTAGGTTACAGCACTCATTGGTTTTTCATTGTTTTATACACGCCTACATGATTAAGTTACAGCACTCATTGGTTTCTCATTGTTTTATACACGCCTACATGATTAAGTTACAGCACTCATTGGTTTTTCATTGTTTTATACACGCCTACATGATAAGGTTACAGCACTCATTGGTTTTTCATTGTTTTATACACGGCTACAAGAGTAAGTTACAGCACTCATTGGTTTCTCATTGTTTTATACACGCCTACATGAGTAAATTACAGCACTAATTGTTTTCTCATTGTTTTATACACGCCTACATGAGTAAGTTACAGCACTCATTGTTTTCTTATTGTTTTATACACGGCTACAAGAGTAAGTCACAGCACTCATTGGTTTTTCATTGTTTTATACACGCCTACATGAGTAAGTTACAGCACTCATTTGTTTTTCATAGTTTTATACACACCTACAAGAGTGAGTCACAGCACTCATTGGTTTTTTATTGTTTTATACACGGCTACAGCACTCATTGGTTTTTCATTGTTTTATACACGGCTACAAGAGTAAGTTACAGCACTCATTGGTTTTTCATTGCTTTATACACGGCTACAGCACTCATTGGTTTCTCATTGTTTTATACACGCCTACATGAGTAAGTTACAGCACTCATTGGTTTCTCATTGTTTTATACACGCCTACATGAGTAAGTTACAGCACTCATTGGTTTCTCATTGTTTTATACATGGCTACAAGAGTAAGTTACAGCACTCATTGGTTTCTCATTGTTTTATACACGCCTACATGAGTAAGTTACAGCACTCATTGGTTTCTCATTGTTTTATACACGGCTACAAGAGTAAGTCACAGCACTCATTGGTTTTTCATTGTTTTATACACGGCTACAGCACTCATTGGTTTCTCATTGTTTTATACACGCCTACATGAGTAAGTCACAGCACTCATTGGTTTTTCATTGTTTTATACACGGCTACAGCACTCATTGGTTTCTCATTGTTTTATACACGCCTACAAGAGTAAGTTCATCTGGCACTAATAGCATAAGCTCTGTAGTTTTCCTTTGATATAATTGCACACATTTGTTTCTTTAATCACCATCTGTAAACTCTGCTGGAAAGTTCTGGTTATTTATCCACTTCTAGACTTTAATCCTGTTTCAGAACCTGAGTTTTTGGTGCACATCTGTTGCACATATTTGGGGGAGGGGGTGTTTCCAGACTGTCGATTCCTTGTCTCTCAGGCAGATGCACTTCATCTTGGAAACAAACCCCAAATCAATTGACTCTTACAACATGATTGTTAGGGTGGCAGTAGGTTGCCCCCCCCCCCCCCCCCCCTCCTCTCATGCTTTAGTTACTGTCAGGGTTACAGAAAAATTTAAATGTGTATGTTCATTCTTCCTTCTGTGGGACTTCAGTTACTGATAATTTACAGTCTGTTAAATGTCTGTTTATTGTTCCTTCTCTGTGACTTCAGATATTGTCAGTATTACAGTAAAATGTATGTGTTCATTCTTCATTCTTTGTGACTTCAGATATTGTCAGTATTACAGTAACATTTATGTGTCCATTCTTCATTTCTGTGACTTCAGATATGTCAGTATTACAGTAAAATGTATGTGTTCATTCTTCCATCTCTAGGAGTTTATTTATATTGACTTAAGTTGCTGTTAAAGTATGTGTGATTGGTTTTTTTCTTCTGATGTCTTCAGTTACTGTAACTGTTCAGCAGTTATTTGATTGTTCATTCTGCCATGTGCAGGGAGATTTGTCTGAAGCACTGGATGGTCTGGAAGCTGCCAGCAGACTTAGCGAGCAGCTGGACAGAAAGGAAGAAGCTCTGGTGGCCCTTAAAGAGGAAGGTAAGACTTATTTCAAGAATCATCACCTTGTGTGTGGTGTGTGTGATTTATCAAAGGTGGAGGAAGCATAGTGGTCTGTGTGATTTATCAAAGGTGGAGGAAGCATAGTGGTCTGTGTGATTTATCAAAGGTGGAGGAAGCATAGTGGTCTGTGTGATTTATCATAGGTGGAGGAAGCATAGTGGTCTGTGTGATTTATCAAAGGTGGAGGAAGCATAGTGGTCTGTGTGATTTATCAAAGGTGGAGGAAGCATAGTGGTCTGTGTGATTTATCAAAGGTGGAGCAAGCATAGTGGTCTGTGTGATTTATCAAAGGTGGAGGAAGCATAGTGGTCTGTGTGATTTATCAAAGGTGGAGGAAGCATAGTGGTCTGTGTGATTTATCAAAGGTGGAGGAAGCATAGTGGTCTGTGTGATTTATTAAAGGTGGAGGAAGCATAGTGGTCTGTGTGATTTATCAAAGGTGGAGGAAGCATAGTGGTCTGTGTGATTTATTAAAGGTGGAGGAAGCATAGTGGTCTGTGTGATTTATCAAAGGTGGAGGAAGCATAGTGGTCTGTGTGATGACTGGCGAGTGTTGTGATCTTCTTTCCTGCGTTACCAGAGCCTGTCAGGGAACTTGTGTATCTGTTAGTCACTACATCTTAGAGCTAAATCTGTTGGAACTAAAGTCATGTTTATCTGTCAATCACTAAATGTTAGAGTTAAGTCTTTTGGAACTAAAATCGTGTTTATTTGTCAATCACTACATCTTAGAGCTAATTCTTTTGGAACTAAAGTCATGTTTATCTGTCAGTTACTGCATGTTAGAGCTAAGTCTTTTGGAACTAAAGTCACGTTTATCTGTCAGCTATTACTGTTAAAACTTAAAACTGGGAGCCACGTTAGCACAGTCGATAGGAGGCTTGCTTTCAAATCCAGCTGCGACTCGCTACAGCCACAGTCGGTGTTCAATACCGGGTGGTTCCCGGGGTTCACCCAGCCTCTAGGAAATTGGTACCAGAGTTGACACTTAGGGGTGAATGAAGGAATGTCGGGGTAGCTACAAAGTTACGTGTGGACAGCAGCACAGGTGGACAGTTTCTTATTAGCTGTCCCTACTGGTGGCAGAGCACGTATGGTTTATAACTGTGTGCAGTGATGCTGGTTCACATCTCCCGACTTTACCTTTTCACTGTTAAAACTATGGTCATGTTTATCTGTCAGTCTCTAATTGTTAAATTTGAGTCTGTTGGAACTAAAGTCATGTTCATCTGTCAGTCAACTTTGGGCAGGTTTCAGCATTTCTCACATAGAGAAATTTTCAGTATTTTTGACAGAGGAATTTCTAGCATTTCTCACATAGAGGAAGTTTCAACATTTCTTTTATCATATAGAGGAAGTTTCAGCATTTCTCACATATAGAAAGTTTTACCATTTATCATATAAAGGAAGTTTCAGCATTTCTCACACATAGAAAGTTTTACCATTTATCATATAGAGGAAGTTTCAGCATTTCTCACATATAGAAAGTTTTACCATTTATATAGAGGAAGTTTCAGCATTTCTCACATATAGAAAGTTTTACCATTTATCATATAAAGGAAGTTTCAGCATTTCTCACACATAGAAAGTTTTACCATTTATCATATAGAGGAAGTTTCAGCATTTCTCACATATAGAAAGTTTTACCATTTATCATATAGAGGAAGTTTCAGCATTTTTCACATAAATTATATTTCTCATATTGAGGAAGTTTTAGCATTTTTCACATAAATTATATTTCTCATATTAAGGAAGTTTCATCATTTCTCACATAAATTATATTTCTCATATTGAGGAAGTTTTAGCATTTCTCACATAAATTATATTTCTCATATTGAGGAAGTTTCAGCATTTCTCACATAAATTATATTTCTCATATTGAGGAAGTTTCAGCATTTCTCACATAAATTATATTTCTCATATTGAGGAAGTTTCAGCATTTCTCACATAAATTATATTTCTCATATTGAGGAAGTTTCAGCATTTCTCACATAAATTATATTTCTCATATAGAGGAAGTTTCAGCATTTCTCACATAGAGGAAGTTTCAACATTTCTCACGTAGAGAAAGTTTTAGCATTTCTCACATAATATGGGCAAGTTTCAGCATTTTTCGAATAAAACGAACAAACTTTATTTTTAAAGGGTTACAAATTTGGCCCGCAAGCCCGTCTGACATTTGGCCCTTTTGAGCACTCATCTTTTAGTGTACCAACGCCTGTCATCAATAATGCGTGTTGTGTTTATAATTAAAAAAATATACATTATAGAATAATGCATACACGCGTCATGTATACACACTCAGAGGTAGTTTCAGCATTTCTGTAACACAGTTGTATCTCTATGCTCACAAAGTTTCAAGCGTGCCTAATGGACAAGTGATCAGATAGTTTTCTTATGTCTTTCTGGTGTTTATCAACACAGCCAGTGATCCAACAAATCAATTGAAAATAAGTTTGTTTTCTAAGCAATATAATGTCAATTCAAGCAGGACGAATATGTTTCCTTTGAACAAAAGTATGAATGCTTCAGTATATTGTTGCTGACTATTCACATATGACCATAAGTTCATTTAACACAATGATGATTTATATACTTCAATGTAAATTGTTATGACATTCAAGTTATTCACTATTCATCATCATCACGTAGCAGGTCCTTTGCAGAACGTCGCTCTCATCACAGTCTGCCTGTAAGAAACTCGGTCTCTCACCAGTTCTCCCGCCTCATGCACTTTCACACTCAAGGAATCACTTATATCCTGTGCCCATCTTCGTGTCAGTCGGCCTATGCCCCTCCTTCCTGGTACCATGCCTTCTGCTATAATTTTTTCCAATCCGTCGTGGCGCTTGATATGACCAAAATATTTCAGCTTTCGAGAAAGGATGGTGTTTATTAGCCAATCTTCCTTGATGTTCAGATCTTTTAAGATGTCAATATTTCTTTTCTTCTTTGTCCAAGATATTCTGAGAATCTTTCTATAGCATTTCAGCTCAAAAGCCCCAATTCTCTTTCTTAAGGACTGATAGTCCACGACTCACATCAGTATGTAGCCACAGGGAAGATGCATGCTCTCAAAATTCTAATTTTTATCTCCTTGCTGGTACTTAACCATATACCTCTCTTAAATGTTTGTGTATTCTAGACAAAGCAATAAGGTCTTACTGTGTTCGTAAATTGTTGCTGTGATTGTTATTCGACATTTGCTTCGTTAATATAAATTTCTGTAACCTATGGTGCCATTTCAATGGGTTGAAATGAATTTGAGAAAGTCTGATCATGTCTTATTTGTGAAAGCATAGTCTTGTCTGTTTTGGGAAAGCCCAGTTGTGTCTGTTTTGGAAAAGCCTAGTCTTGTCTTATTTGGGAAATCCTGATCATGTCAAATGTGGGGAAAACCAATTATGTCTGCTTTGGGAAAACCTTTTGTCTCATTTAAATCTTTAGCTATAGCTCTACAGAGAAAATCTTTAACCATAATTCTACAGAGAAATCTTTAGCCACAGTTCTATAGAGAAAATCTTTGGTCATAGTTCTACAGAGAAACTTGTAGGTAAACTGTTACAGAAAAAATCTTTCGCCATATCTCTACAGAGAAATCTTTAGCCACAGTTCTACAGAGAAAATCTTCGGTCATAGTTCTACAGAGAAACTTGTAGGTAAACTGTTACAGAGAAAATCTTGAGCCGTAGTACAGAGAAAATCTTGAGCCTTTTAATTCTACAGATAAAATCTTGAGCAATAGTTTTACAGAGAAAATCTTTAGCAATAGTTCTACAGAGAAAACCTTGAGCCTTAATTCTACAGATAAAATCTTGAGCAATAGTTTTACAGAGAAAACCTTGGGCAAATCTTGAGTAGTACTTTTACTGATCAGTCTTGTCTTGTCTTGTCTTGTCTTGTCCACAATTGCCTCACAGCGTAGTGGGGAGTCGCAGTTTTCTATCCTGGGCCAGGTGTCACATATCACTCCTGTCACGTGCCTGATATAAGGACTTCTCCTTCAGAACCAACAGCACTCAGAAATAATTATGTTGAGTCGTTTGGCTCGTATTGGTCTAAGGGATTCCCCGTGGCCAATATACGCTCAACTTATTTCTGGAGTAGGGCAACTCAAGTATTGGTACTACAAAATATATCTGTATATGAATACAATATTCCTAGGCACACTTGGCTGGACATCCCCACTACTTACTAAAGAAAGCCCCCAGGTTATGATCGTTCATTATCATAACCATGTTAACACATATATTTAATATTCATACACACACAAATGCTAAACACTTAAAAAGGTGTAATAGAGACACCTAAGTCAGCCATGAAAATGAATGCATGTAATCAATACAACATATACATATATAAAATAGTGAAGTAGATGCCCGATCTCAATAGCTGGATCCCAGAATACAATGTCCAGATTACAAAGACAACCAAACAGCCAGAATGATCTGGAGATGACACATATTCATCCTTGGGAAACATGGGAGCTGTGGGGAATATAGCAAAACATGGCATTAACTGGCACTTATCCTCTTTCTATCGTTGATGCTTCCCTCAGCTCCTGATGATTCGACTGTCTTTGGTAATTCTGCCTCAACTGGATCAGATGGTGGAGGAGTACCTCACCATAAAGGACACAGCAACTGGATAGGCACTTAACAAATCTCTCCCACTAGTCATTCGCAGCACTGTCCCTGAGCTACACACATGCTCTGGCACTGTAGGATGTTTGGGGTATATGGCACCCCAAACTGATGATGTCAGTCTTCACAACTGGTAGTTGGGTGATAATTGGTTGGTAATAGGTTGATGGTTGTTGGTGGGTGATGGTTGGACTGTGATTTTTCTGCCAGCTCTTCACATAGGTTTCATCCCAAGCATAGGAAAAGTCCCCGACACTACAGATCGCCTTATGAAAGTGAAATTTGTTGGCGTCGATGTATACATCTGAACGCTAAGAAAGCCGGCAGAAATAA